GTTGCCTACCTGGGGAGTGACTCGGCTTCAGGGGCCATCACATCACAGTGAGAAAAAGTACAGGCACTTACCCAGCACCCTTATAGCATCCCCAGCACGTAATAGACTCATACCAATGCTTCAGAGAAGTGCCACACTAAACTTTGAGAGCCTGGTCTACAAACGTTTCTTTTATTCATGCTTTAGACTTCTACTTAGAACCCATTACATTGATTTAAACACAGATTCAGGACTTTGCAAGCTTGGGAAAACAGCCTGGACACACTTGAGTGCTCCCAGCTGGAGGGTGCAAACAGGTAGCTTTTGTGTCAGACCTGCTGCTGAACAAGATGTCGCAGAGATGGGGACAACCTAGGTCATTCAAAGCCCAGCCGTGAACACAGAGCACTTGGTGGGCTCCATGCAGAGGGCGAGAAGCTGTAGTTGTGACTTAGAGGAAGATGTAAGCTCAGCAGGGGTGCCTAACCTTTTTAACACACTGTCAAGGGAGGACTACACATTATGGACCTTCCCCTAACAGATGACAGACTGGCTGTCCTGAGCAAGTCAGCTTCTTCCTAGGGTGTTGGATTGACACACAGGTGCGTAATGTTTGCACTGCACCTGTGCGAACTGCAGTACAGTCACAGGCGAACTGAAGTGGTGGAGTAGTGGTCCTTCTGGAGCCTTCTCCCCATATGCATCTTGGAATAAGGAGGCTATTCAGGAGGTGTGTGAGCCAGGGTCATCATCCTGGCAAGGCAGGTACTGCAGCACGCAGGTATCCACAGCTGGTGGGCTGAGGGCTGAGCATCTCTGACCCAAGAGACCATCACCATGCAACAGCCCGGCTGCGGTCCCTCCGCTCCCCGGCGGGGCAGGGGGAACGAGATCTGAAGAGCGTTGCCATCTCTGTGCTTACAGCCACAACCTGGTTAGCACCACGAGTAGGAGGGGGGCCAGGTCAACGGTATTTGCTGATGACTCACATGGCAAGTAATAGCCAGTAAATACTAAAGCAGGCAGAAGGTAGGTGTACATACAGCACACAGCAGTACACACGTATCTGACCTGTTTTGGATTCCTGCCATCTACTGCCTAGTATATTCTTCTGCAATCACGGTACAGGCTTCTGATTAAAGAGAGCATTTCTAACACCTGAATAAATAGCCTCTCTCATAACAGCATACCTGAACAATAGAAGTGCTAAAGGAAGAGCTGAAAATACGAGTGGGAGAATTGTTACATGCAGAGTTATGACCTTGAAAAAACAGCCCTCTTCAGCTGTCACTCATTAGATAGAGTCCATACAATGAATAAGAACTGAACCCTCCTGAGGGCTGATTCAACTCCCCTTTTATTGAAAGACCATACTTTCTCTGACTTAAAATCTGAATTGGACAGCAAGCCAGTGCATTGCATCCTGCTTAAAGAAGGACAAATAAATTGGCAGAACTTTAGCTCAGCTATCAGAGCAACGGAAGGGCAATGCAGCATATTACAGTAGCACTAGTGGACAGAGGGGAACAAAACTGCTGCTAACATGCTTAAAATGAGTCACTTCCTATTGTAAAATGAATGCTTTTTCTTTAAGGAAAGAAGAACCAGTATGAAAAAGAATAGATTTATTACAGTGTTCCTGCACAGAAACGGTGACAGCAAGGCGTGCAGATGGGAGTGATTTTGTTTGGTCAGTATGTCTGGAGACTGTGGCCACAAAAGCCTTGCAGCCTCAAAGGCAGCATGTGGCTGAATCCATGCTAATGCAGAAAAGGACTTGATTGCACATCTCTGAATGCCTGAGTACAACTGCTAGCTTTGGTTTTCTTCTGCCACATCAGTAGGAAACAACACTGTCAGGGCTGTAATGATAACGAGGTGCAATATTTGGGAGGCTCAGCAGACTATGAAGTGCACAACCTTGCATAGTAGCTGCTGAAATGGGAAGGAAAAACTCCAAAGGAGATTTTTTCCTTGAAATGACAACGACACAAAAGAGAGAGCACAGCCAGTTTTCACGGTAGGTGGGTAATGCAGAGCCCCCAGTTGTTAAGAACTCAAGCCATTCAGAAGCACTAGGCAGTCTAGTATCCTGCTGTTCTTCATTCACCCCCTTACTTAGTTCTCTCCTCCTGCTCTTCTTTCTGCTCCCCTCCGTAAAATGAGGGTGAATCAGCAGACACGAGCCAGCAGGAGAAGGCCTTCATCCGCATATGTCAAAACAATTTGCTGTAGGCAGGCAGACAACATGGAGATGTCTTGACGTGGTGTGCTCTCTGCTTTCACACGCCAAGTGCAAAACAATCCTTGGCCACAAATGCTTTCTCCTTCTGTTTCAGGTGGTCTTTCGAGTCTTTAATCTCTTTTCCCATTAACTTTGAGACACCAGAAATAGAAACAAAGCCAAAATTAACCCCTTGAGCACAGGAGACTTTGCACACAATTCCGTTTTCATTCTGCAGAATAAAGATACATATGTATGTAAGGATCCTAAACCTCAATGTCTGGAGTGCTGTTGGTGCCATTTGGGGGGTGACCTGATGGGAGAAGATGGTGTTGGATTGTCCCCCAGGACACCAGTATAGTTGTGGAGAGGGAGCGAAGTAGAGGCAACCAAGTAGGACCAGAATTAGTGGTACAGAAGATGACCAAAAGGAGTTTTATCCCTTTATCCACGGGAGAGAAGCCTGCCTATTGAAACACTGAACACATTTTTTCCACCAAAATTGGCCTCTTCTACCACCTGAAATAGACAGTCACTGAAATGTACAGTCATTGAATTTCTCCATCTTTTCAATCATATGGTGCATTGACTGCACGGATAGGTGCACTAGAGGTTGCTTTTGGCTGCAAGACAAATTGCCTGTCAGTCAGTTACATCAGACTAGGATATTTCACAAACATTTGTTCGGTCCAGGTGTGTTTTATTCAATGTCCAGACTAGCATAGCAAAGAGTGATACATCTAGAGTGGATGCAGCATATTCTCTGTGGGGGAAATAAAGCCAAACTGTGATGGTTTTACATAGTCTGTAATTTCCTGCATATTGTGTAAAACTAGCGTAGTCTCTGAGAAAGCTTAGCCATGGGGTTTGCAAGCATGAGCTCCTATTGCATTAGCTAATGCTTTAGGAAGACATAAAGACTTGGGTTTTTGAGTGAAACCACAATCAAAGGTAAAATCTTCTTAATTATTTATGTTCAGTAAAGAATTCATGCCAGTACCCTTTTGAAATCACGTCCTCCCTCCATCCTAGTCAACCCATCAAATACCTTTGGCACCTGCCTCAGTGCTTTGGCATTTGATATCAACAGGGTAGAATAGTTTTGTCATCTCTGAGCCCAAGTTACTCAGCTTGAGACCACTTAAACTTCGCTGACAACCCACATTTAGAAGCCACAGACACCTGCCAAATGAGACACCCGAATTGCCTTGAAAATCTTTCTCTGTCCAGATACGTTGCATGAATAACCAAATTCCTTTTATGATTTCTGCATTATTTTGCAGATTGCTTTTTCTCCTCCCAGCACCGATTTCCATTAGAAAGCTTTACTGCTTTGGTAGCAGGATGCAAGGCTAGGTTTCGAGATGCGAGTTTTAGGCATTTTTATCCTTGTGTGGGTGCCTCGAAGAAGGGCTTCAGGGGGAATGCCTGAGACTCATTAGAGGCTTTCTTCACTGTAGGCACAGCTCAGGAAAGGTGGACAACGAGGGTGAAGATGGCAAGAGGAGAACCAGATCCCTGTTGCATTTACACACCTGTGTCACCAGTAAGCGTGTACTGGGCCTTCCCGCATCTCAGCCTAGAGTTCCTTCTGGGCTGTTCTCATGTTGCAGAAATAGCCCTGTTTTATAAAGAATAGGGAAAAAAGCCTACTCCAACATTCTAGGAAAGCCAAAAGCAATGCAATGAAATTACACGTCTGCCAGATAAGTTACTGCACTTAAGCTTGAGTGGTTGGCAGGGCTCAAAGCGAGTACCAGCCATTGGTGTCTCCATGCCATTTCCGTGTCTGTGCCCTTCAATGGTGAGGAAGTGCTTTTGGCTGGATAAAAATCCTTCTCTGGCCTCCATGCCCCACTGATGGCTAGTGCCAGCTGCAGAGCAGAGTACCCCATTCACAGTGTCCTTCTCCAGAGCTGCCTCAGATAGTAAATGCTGTCAGTGAGAAAAATGGCCCCAGAGGCCAGATTTCACCATCAGAATCTGGCCTCTGACACCAACTCATTATTTCACCTGTGACTTGTAAGCACGAGGCCATGGCGTGTTTTCTCTGGCAGTCACTAACCCAGTCTTCCATGTATGGAGGGGAGTTTGCGTTGCATTGGGCAGGAGTTTGATCATCCTCTACCTCCAGGTTCACTTTTGCCTTCAGAGTTGCCATGGTCTGTCCCTGCACATGGGATTTCTAAGCACAAACCACACGAGAGCCTTCCTACAAGGTGTGAAACCTCCTCCAGTGGCAGTCCTGCATCCATGCCTGCTGTAGCTTTTGTGATGCTCATTTTTTTGCTTAGATCTCTCTCCGGCCCCTGGGAGATGACGCACGCACTGGCAGAAGGGGCTGACGGCTCTCCCCCCCCGAGGGTGAGTGGGTGCATGCTGTTTGGCGCTGCTCAGACAACTGAACAACAAATAAATCAATTTACTTTAAAAATCAATCCTCACAGGAACTCTCAGTGAAGAAGAAACCTGTATTGCACTAATTATATTCTGTAAAGTATCTATGCTTCACAACAGTTTAAGGAAGGATCTCAGAATATGATAATACAAGAGAAGAACAAATTAGCCATGAGCAGGCACCATTCTTGGAGGCTGTCCCCATCTGCTGTAGTGTTGAGTTTGACCCATACTGGCTGTAAGAGGAAAACATGGAACTGCCCTATCTTCTTTAAGGGCAAACAGCATCCAGGGGTCATTTTAAAAGACCACATTACCAGCTATAGCCAACATCAGTAATGAACATGTTTACTTTGCCACAGGACTTTTTTTTCTTTTTTTAATAATTCCTGTTACGTAGCCTCCCTCAGAAATCACTCATTGTCATCATCTTCTCCAGTGAGCTCCCACATGAAGGGCTGAACGCCATCCGCATCGCTAATCTGGTAACTATTGGCAAATGACTGTTAGTAGTCGCAGTCAGGTGCGGCTGCTGGACACAGTACCTGTTTACACTTTCAAACCATCTATTCCCAGTAAGCCAAAACACCACTTTTTTCACCATGTCTTTTTAGCATATTGTACTGACAGCCTCGGAGTTTCTAAATCTAAGAAGGAGGTGTTACTAACATTTTTTAAAGCAATCTAAAATTTCCCATTCGTAAACCGTCTCTGTGCCAGTCAGGTGATTAATGCAAGGCCTGCAGAGTAGTTTCATACATTGCACAATAATTTGTAGGGATCCTAGCAACAACTGTATTCGGTAAAAAGTGTCCATTATATTAAGTGACCTAATGTTTATCACACTCGGTAAGCGACACTCATGGCTACTTCATTTAGGTAGTTTATGATGCTGAACTACTGAACCGCACAGCGGGCCTTATTCCCAACGCAGCAGTGCTACCACTTGTGTTGTAAAGGCTATTTCGCTGCACAGGCTGCTGTGTACATGCAAAATGCTCTCAATAAAAAAAAAAAAAACCAAAGCCCCAAAACATGCCTGTTTCTTCTTTAGACAGATACAATTGCTCCTGCTTAAGCTCACACGCGGTGGTAATAGTCAGTGGAAGGAGCTCCGCGAATGCCCCGCAAAGGCCGTAGTTAGACACTATTGAGCTACGACTGTAATCCATGAAACAAGGAGCTGGGGAAAAGACTGTGCTCTGTGAAACAGGAAGCTGGGGAAAAAACTGTGCCTTTAGGTCACAGGCACTGTTCTGAGGAGGCACAGAAGACTGCCCAGGCTCTGCGGGCAAGGCAGCATGGCTTTGGTACAGAGAGCAAACCTAACTCCACGTGAGAACCAAGGTTACTCCTAAAGGATGATCCCTCTCAGATACAGAGGACCTCCAGTGGCATGAATTTCAGTGCTACAATTTGTACTCAGAAGCTGATAAAGTCCGAGGAGATGTCAAAGGAGAGAGGTAAGTGTCCCACGATGAAGCCTGGCTGAGTTAGAAGGTTGCCATATTTTGAGCAGCGTGGACCTATGGTGTTTGGGTGTCAGAGAACTTCAGATGCTATGTCTCAAAGGCACCCTCATGACTGAAGGAAAAGAGTTGAGACTGCCATTTCTTACAGTTGCTTCTCACCATCTGCTAGTGGCATCTCAAGGCTTCAGCCAGCTAGTCCCTAATCAAGCCCTTGTTCTCAACATTTATCAATTCAGAATACTGCAGTGCAGCAGGCGACGCCGGCATAAATTCCCATCTGTCATCCCCTAATCAAGTCCCAGCACAGCGATCAACCTCTTTCAAATTCAGATGATCTTAACTACTTAGTATCTAGAAAAATCACTGCAAGAAATGGGCAGTATACCATCCAGGACAATTTAGGGGCACTGACCTATCCAGCAGCTGTACCTCCACGTACATTAGACACAGATATTTTTGTATCTCCATCATTATCTCTGCCATAGGCCTCATCACTGACTACAATATTAGCACAAGAATTAGGGTAAACAAGGTCAAAATGCGGTCACAAATGCTCTTCCATCACCTTTCATCCACAGTAGGTAATTTTTGCCCACAGGAGAGCTTGCGGGGCACTGAGCAGGCACCCAGGAGTCACTGAAATGCTGGCACGAGGACATAGTTGTTCACCCATTTCCTATTTTACTGAGCTTAAATAGTGCTGGAGAACATGTCAAGAGCCAGCTTGACACTGGCTAGAAAATGGGTGAAGGACTGAGACTTATCCGTACCTCATCTTTGCATTCCCTGTGCAGCAGGAAAAGTACTCCCAAGCCCTGTGCTAAGACACTGTCATATACTGGCAACTTTCTGCTGCACCTAGTACATACCTGTTTTCACAAAGTAAATGATATTACTATATTTTATATCATCCAGACAGAAAAAGCCCTAATGTGATCCTAGGGAAAGCATTTCCAGTACAAGATACTGTAACCCTTGCAGAAAAATTGGATAGAGCGCTTGCATGTACTTTGTCAGATCAATTTTCTAATCCAGCTCACCAAGCAAAGCTTGCTGGTGTTAAGACGAATAACTTGCATTTCAGTACGTGTTGTTACTGCTATTGCTGGGAACCCTGAGAAAGGTGGGGGGAGAAGGTACAGAGGAAAGGACTGCTTATAAATCTGCTCCTGTAGGAACATGGGAGCGGGATTAGAACCAAACAGCAGGACCCCCACAAGGGGCAGAAGGGGTAGGGAGCAGGGCTGCTGTGCCTGGACATGGCCTGGCTTCAGCATCCATTCAGGAGCTCCTCTGAAAGTCCGGCCAGAGTTACCAGCAGGGATCAGTGTCCTGAAGCATCCCCCTTGCTGCACGCTGGCTCCAGCTGCTGCCGCTGGAGTGAGGCAAATCCAGAGGATTTAAAGAGAAGATGAACCCCATGGATCACATCCGGTATCTATGAAGCCAAGCCACTCAACCTGACTGGCCAACAGTGGCTGCAGAATCATGACAAATACTCCAGCTCAAGGGTTTCCTTGACAGAACATCACTCACGGTACCTCTAGGGCTCATCAGCGGGCACAACAGAGGCATTTCATAAGGAAGCAAGTGAAAAATGACACAGCAGTTCTGACTATATCACCCCTCATCCTGCACACCTGCTCTGAGCTGAAATCAATGCAGTTGCATTTGGGTTAATGAAGGGCCGAAATGGGAAAATTCCCCTAAAGGTGATTTGAGACTGTACTGTTGGAAAGATTTTGATTTTTTTTTTATTATTGTAATTTAGGGAAGGAGTCATTTGATTGTCATATTTGGTTTAGTTTTGCTCTAAGATACAAAATTAATATATTACATTAATACAAAAATAGGTGACAGTTATGAGGGCTATTACTCAAGATCGTTCACTCTGCTGCAGTTCATTTCCCTGGTGGCAGGAGTCTGCTCCCAGACAGCAGGCTTTGAAGGCATTTATGAAGGGGGAAGCTTTTTCCAGCGCCAAATGAAACAGTTAAAAAAAGATGAGCATTGTCAGTTGTAGGACATAGCTCCTAGGTCATCATTACCTTAATGTCAGCAACTTCCTTTCTCTCCGATTTAAAGGAATCCTTGCAATTACTGTTGATTTGTTTTGGAAAATCCATCAAAGCTGGCAGAAACATTTGAAGCACTGAGCGCACAGAAAAGGTGATTTATAGAACACTTACAAAAATGTCAAATACAAACATTTGGCAGTCTCTTGTAACAGTAAACCAGATCTCTGATTTTTAAGCACTACTTCAGGTATTCTCGCCAAGCAATATAAACTTCTGATAGAAGAACCTTGCCTGTCTCCTTCTAGCCACCCTGCTAGCAGGAACAATAGGATTATATTTTTTTTCCTAATTCAAGACTACACAGTAAGTTCTAGTAAACACAAGCAAGTAGTTAAAAGTTTGGCTACACCTCAGTGCTCCAGGAAAGCTCTCAAGGACTGTAAGGGCTGTTCATACCTACAGTGGAGAGCTCTGCCTGGCCAGTACACTAAAGTGTGTCTTTGAATCACAGCTTCAGCAGGCTGAAGCAAACCAGACAGTGAAACAGCAGACACAAGACAATTCAGCGCTTCACCACAATGTATTTAAGTGTCATGCGGTACATCTAGGCGTGGCTTAGGTGATGGGTCTGTATTGTGGCCAAGGAGCTGCAAGCAGATGCTTTTTCAGGAAACTCAGGGATATTGACACTTGGGCTCAGTCAGAACATCTGTAGCGTCTGATGTGACCAGCAGGGTTTCCTTAAAGGCTCAACTGTATCACTCCAGGGGAAAAATACCTTCCAGCTGAAGGACTTCTAAAGAGCAGCTCTGGATAAGCAAGCAAGTCCTTGTGGAGCAGATCATTCCAGCAGTGGGAAGGGACACTTCCCCAGAGCCCATCTGTAGGAGAGTGGGTCAGACAGGCAGGACTGCGTTGCAGGAGACTCATCCTGGGCAGTGTTGCAAAGCACCTCCAGCTCTTGGGAGGAGCTGAGTACACAAGTTTCCCTGAAGTCCTTCTCTCAGTTGGGACCCCACTCAGTCAAGAGAAAATTACCAGGTGCCTTTGATTTCAGTTCTTTTTAGACAGAGTTCAGAACTAAAATGGGCAGGCACTGTGAGCTGCGATGAGAAACAAAATGTCTCTCTCCAAAGCCCAGCCCACCCTAATTTTTCCTCCTGCTACGCCTGCCTCCCTGTGCGCAGGCACCCCCGGCTCAGGATGCTGCTGTGGTGCACACAGCAGCAGAGCCAGGGCCATAACTCTACGTCTGCTCCGATGAGATTGCAAAGGGCTGCTGGACACCACCTCACTCTGTGTCTGGAGTAAAGGTCCCAACTTGCTCTCTGTCCCTCATCGTGGTCTGCCAGGATGCTCAGTGTCAGGGTATCCCATAGCTGGGAGCAGGGCCACATGCTTCTCTCATTCCAACAGCTGCTCTGAGGGACTCAGCTGTAGCGTTTTCCTTTTGGTTTCTGGACTTTATTAAAGGTGGTCATATTGCCAAGTGCTTGAACAGAGCTAGTGCTCCAAGCAAGTGCTCAGAAAAGCTAGTATTACATCTTAATAGCCTAACTCTGTGTTTCTGTCTCCACAGCAAACATCTTGACAGTCATCATCCTTTCGCAGCTCGTGGCTCGCAGGCAGAAGTCCTCCTATAACTATCTTCTAGCACTAGCTGCTGCCGACATCCTGGTTCTCTTCTTCATCGTCTTTGTTGACTTCCTCATGGAAGACTTCATCTTAAATAAGCAGATGCCTCAGGTACTGGACAAAGTAATTGAAGTCTTGGAATTTTCTTCCATCCACACCTCCATTTGGATTACGGTTCCACTAACAATCGATAGGTATATAGCTGTGTGTCATCCGCTGAAGTATCACACAGTCTCCTACCCTGCTCGTACTCGAAAAGTCATTGTAAGTGTCTATATCACCTGCTTTTTGACCAGCATCCCCTACTACTGGTGGCCCAACATTTGGATCGAAGACTACATAAGCACATCAATGCATCACGTCCTCATCTGGATCCACTGCTTTACCGTTTACTTAGTGCCCTGCTCCATCTTCTTCATCCTGAATTCCATCATTGTGTACAAGCTGCGACGAAAGAGCAATTTCCGACTGCGAGGATACTCCACAGGGAAAACAACAGCCATTTTGTTTACTATAACTTCTATTTTTGCCATTCTTTGGGCACCAAGAATAATCATGATACTGTATCACCTCTACGTGTCGCCTATAAACAACAGCTGGGTGGTACATATTGTGTCGGACATCGCCAATATGCTAGCACTGCTGAACACTGCCATTAATTTCTTCCTCTACTGTTTTATTAGCAAAAGATTTCGTACAATGGCAGCTGCCATGCTGAAAGCCTTCTTTAAGTGTTAGAAGCAACCTGTGCAATTCTATACAAACCATAACTTTTCCATAACAAGCAGCCCTTGGATTTCTCCGGCCAACTCTCACTGCATCAAAATGCTGGTTTACCAGTATGATAAGAATGGAAAGCCTATAAAGATATCACCATGAAAAGGGCAATAGTTGGTGTTTCTGGGTGCAAGTTCTTTTCAAGTGGTTACATCTTCAGGATGTAATTTGCTGAAATGGCTGTTTTGAAGAGTGGTCGTTTGATTTCATTTCCCTGGGAGACCGAGGGCAGATCGGACTTAGGGGGGAACAGGAGCACTCGATTTTAGGAGCAAAAGTGAGAAGGCAAACACCTCCGTCTCTTACATAGCATTTTGAATATGCTTCAGAGTTCAAGTCTTAGTGTTCAGTCACACTCAAACATTTTGCATCCTAGCAGCAGTGCTTTCCAAAGTCATTGGAGGGGGAAAGCCATGACAGTGTTTCATTACAACCTTTTAAAAAAACAACAAAACCTTACTGATAGTTCGCTATCGACAGAGCAAACGGATGCTTTTACGTACTGTGGACAGTGCCATTTCTGGTGTGTGCACTTGCCAAAAATAACGTGTTGTTTCGGACATGAGATACTGCCACACAGGTTTCTGCTGTCAAGGCCTCACTGCCGGAGGCAGCCTGTGAGACACGAACGGTGACAAGCCCTTTTTGGCTCTTCTGAACAAGGCTCAAGGACCGCTATAGTACCTGTTGCAGCCTTGGCATGGAAAGCAATCCTGCAAGCTGCCAATATTTGTATGTTTTAAGTTGTTATTTAAGAATGTGACCGAGACAGGGGAGCTGGAGGGAGGGAGGTTTCTAGAGCCAAGAACAAAAGCAGCATCTTTTCCCAGCTATTTCAGCTTTGGTGTCTAAAGACTGTCGTGCGAGGCCAAGCTCTGCCTGATGCAGAGCTCCCACTGAAGCTGCTCCCATGAGGTGTGGAGTGATTACAGCCTTCAGATTCCTCCTTAATCAATAAAGATTCTCAGTTATCCCCCATGTTCAGGCCTTTAGGGATGAACATCTAAAACCTCAACCTAAGACGTTCTCCTGACAGATTATGCCATCCTATTGCAGATTTGCCATTTAATTGTTAAAAAAACCCCCTATTTGTGAAAGAAATCCATTAAATCCATTAAATTCCCAACAGCAGTCAAAAACGTACATCAGCTTGGACTGAGGCTTTTAAATATTTACCTTATTTAAAGTAGCTTAACTTCTCTTCCTTCACACTCAAAACCAGCATCCCAGCAATGCTAAGTGTAGAAAATGAGAAGAGATTTACAGGAAGGCTGCAAATGCATGTCTTTTAATTTGTCTCCTTCTCAGATTTTGGCACGTGGTCTCTCGGAGCCACGTACCACAATGTTTTTACTTCTATATTGGGCACTTAATGCAGCCTTACGGAATGTGAGAGCAGACTTCCTTGCATGGTGAAGACAAGCACAATGAGGTCAGTGGACACAGCAGCTTCTCAGTAACTGCAAATAAAAAGCAGCCCGGTGCTAGCACTGCGTTTGTGCCTGTGCCCATCTCCATTGCCAGCGGGGAGCTCGTGGTGACCTAAGATATCAAGGTCCTCAACAAGGGATCTCGGCAATCCCGCTTTGGTGGGATCCGAGGGCTGAAAGTATCTCTCAGACCCACGGATGGCTCAGTTTTGGTGCATTTCCCCTCAGAAACGCCAAGCCTGCGAAAGTCCTGCTGAGGACAACAGCCTGGTTTCCTTCTGCCACAAAGGCTGCATTTGCACACCGACATGTACTGGCACCCTGCAAGAGCAAAGCCCACGCCAAACCTGAGCATGCCTTTCCCAGGAGGGAGCAGCAGCAGAAACCATGAAGACCGAGACCCCAGGCGAAGACTGGCTCGTGCATGGAGGGGCTTTCTCAGGAAAGCGCACGGCTACTCAGGTCGGTCCGGAGCATGGAGTCTGGATACCCAGCACCTTGGGGAGCATGCACCACCCGGTCCTCCCACTGGCAGAGCAGCGGGGAGAGCTGCTCAGCACTCCTCTGCGAGGTGCTGGAGCACCCCAGAGACCATGCTGGTTAGGGCAAGGAGAGGACACGTCTGGGGAAAGGGGGAGCTGAGCACAAAATCTGGACCCTTCCCAGCTTCACCCACCGAAGGGATGCTACCTGCCTGAGTCTCCCCAGAGTCAAAGGGCAGCGAGGAGACCCCTCATCCTGCAGGCTCTTTGTCCCTGTGATATCGACAAAAATTCACACTTACTTGCAATAATAAAGAGTAAAAGGGATGCTCAGCCTTGCTGTCTGTCATGGCGAGGTTAAAATTATTGCTCCCTTTACCAGTGTTTTACAGAAATTCAGTTTTGTGGCCATGCTTTCTACCCTCCTCTCAGAAACCTCTCTCTGGTCTTTGTCAGTTGATAGTAACCAAAGTTACCTTATGAAAAAGGTACTGTATGTTTCATTTTGGGAAAATACTGTATTTATAACTTATTTTTATTCTAAATTTGTTATGAGGAATGCTTGTCTGAGTTACATGTGAATGAGTCTGAAGTGCAATATCTATATACATAAGTGGTTCATTTTTGAGAATGTATCTATTGAAAAAATTATTTATACAAGAAATTCACTATTTATTTAATATAATAGTAACCTTACAGAAAATAGTGAATGTTTAGGGCTTTTATTTATTAAAAAATTTCAATTAAGTGCATGGCGTATGCTGCCATTCACATGGTGTGTTTTATTAGATTTTGTAACATGTTTATCCCACAAACTAGCAGTGTCATATGATTTTTCCTGTCCTGATGATGTATTTTTGTAAATTACCATATTTAAAAACAAAATCTTTGTGTGAATTTTTTATTTCCCACTAAAAATAGCCCACTAATTTGTTGTAACTTCATCTGAAAAAACCTCACAACCCTTTTCCATATCATTTTAGAAATGACAAGGTGCAATTTTCATGTACAGTGAATGGATCATTTCATTTCTGATAATTTAGGGCTTTACGAGCTTACTTCCAAAGCTCCTTGAAGTCACAGGGAAGGTTGCTTGTGGGATTTCTTGTTGGTTTTTCCAATCCCCATTGATTTAGGAGGGCTTTGGATCAAGCCGTATCTTGTTAACAGACATGTGAAGCCTTCTTAGAGTCCAGTTTGGATAATAAAGCCTTGACTTATTAGTCTGCCGTATGGAAGCTGCTGTTGATAATACTTGCCTTATTTTTGGTTGTGTGAAGCATCTTGCAATGACTGTTGCTAACTAGCCAATGTCTTGCTGTATTATTTGTACCTCCTAATTTTCCAATAGTAAAAACTTAACCAAGCACATATAGTGTCATTATTTAGGGAAAAAGTATCCTGGAGACAAAACCATCTTTGTTGTGGAGATGGTCTTTTGTACTCTATATTTCAAATATCTACAGTTAGAAACAATAAGCTGTGAATGGACAGTTTTACAATTACTTATAGGTGTATGTCCTTGAAGACCACAGCTAGGAACAAAATACTTTTTAGATGAGTTGCTAGTATATAAAATTATGGGACCTATCACATATTTAAATTGTGAATATTGATATTTTCATAAGTAGACAATATATTGTGTTTGACAAACTTGTTTGTACTATAATAAATTACGAGATGGTGCATAACTTAGTACTGTGTTTGGAGCTATTGTTTGATTTATAGATTCTGATGATATACTTTTGATTTATAGGTACTTACCATGTACTACAAATAAGATTAGTCCTTGACAACCATTACTCAGTAAAACATGGCCTTGGATTATGGGTGTTCATTCATTTGTTGAAAAAAATCTGAAATATAAGATGTATCAATTATTACTGGCCCAATTCTTAATTTTGAACGAAAGTCTCAGCTGTTGTAAGTTAAGTTTAGCTGTTAAAGTCAGTGGATCCCTGTGCCTAATACCAGTAGAAAGTTGTACCTGTGATAATTTACACCTGTGCAAAGCGGGTGCAGTGCCAGGAAATGGGGCTGCTGCCCCTGGCCATTGCCAGTGATGAGACACCCAGACAGTCCGGTCCAGGAGAGCAAAACACGTAACCCTAATTCCCACCATTGATCAATGACACGACTAATGGCATAAGCTTCCCTGCAAATAGGCTCTACTCAGTCACAGGAGCCAGGGAAAATGGCAGTTTCATTAATATTTGAGAACAAAATGGGAAGTCCTCCCAATCCACTCTCCCTGTGGATGCACAGGGTCTGCATATTTTACAGGCTGGTCTCCTTCTATCTTTGCAAGATCTCTGATTTTGCAAAGACAAAAGGGGATCAGAATTCTGACAGAATGCTTGCCTGGAGGTTAGCATCCAGAGCCCCTGCTCCATCAGGTGGTCCCAAACATTTTGGATTTCACATGTTACTCTAGGGTATTTCAGCCTTTTGCAGAGACGAGGATCCCTCATGAAACACCGCACTTACAGATCTATGTGCTATTAAATATCTGAACATGATAAATATATTATACCTATTGCCAGAAAGTGTAAAAAAAAAAAAAATAACTACGATGAGAATACACAAAATACTAGAGATAGAAAGTGAATTCAGGACCTCAAGGGACTGCACGTGGAAGAAGCCAAACTTTTTTTTCAAATGAAAAATACTAATGCTATGACAAATTCATACCCCAGTCAAATGTAAAACTTTGTGGGATCAAGGTCGTAGCTTCTCTGGAGAACTATTAGGACATTAAAAGAATATTAAAGAATGCACCAGTACAGGCTTAGGGCTGACTTGCTGGAGAGCAGCTCTGTGGAGAGGGACTTCCGTGTCCTGGTAGATGACAAGTTGACCATGAGCCAGCAGTGTGCCCTGGTTGCCAAGAAGGCCAATGGGATCCTGGGGTGCATTAAGAGGAGTGTGGCCAGCAGGTCGAGGGAGGTTCTCCTCCTCCTCTGCTGTGCCCTAGAGAGGCCCCATCTGCAGTACTGTGTCCAATTCTGGGCTCCCCAGCTCAAGAAAGATGAAGGAGCTACTGGAGAGAGTCCAGCGGAGGGCTATGAGGATGGTGAGGGGACTGGAGCATCTCTCCTACGAGGAGAGGCTGAGGGAGCTGGGCTTGTTCAGCCTGAAGAAGAGAAGGCTGAGAGGGGACCTCATAAATGCCTATAAATATCCTAAGGGC